TATGAAGCAGGAAACTGAACGAGCCACTAAGGTGCAGTGCCGTTGTTACTATGCAGACTGGGATGACGAGTAAAGAGCTTCAGAATGCATCAGTTAACATTCCACGCGTGTTTCGGACAAGTATCCGTGCGCATACGGGCGATAGTATGGAACTGGCAGCGATTATGGGTCACCTCATTGTCGGTAGGAGAATTTGACGCTGTGAAAGAACGCTAGCGTGCTTTTTCGCCCGTCTGTCTGTCTGTCTGTTTGTAACAAACTAAAAGTACGTCTCGCATCTAAAGGTAGCTAAATTGTAGCAACAGCGAGGCTGCTATTACAAATCAAAGGATAATCATGATCGTAAGTGATTCCATTGAGCAAAGTCGTTCTAGAGAAGCTATTAGTTGCTCAAGTTGCCAATAAATGCCTAGAAGGTTCATTGCCGTCTTTACAGGAGCCCGCCACCGGTCCATAACAGGAGACCTTAGTTAACGTGCCTTGTCCAGAGGCCGGGGCAAATATCTTCGCTGCCTAACCTACTTTGAGGTTTTCACGGCGGTGAATATGACGATGTTGGTCTTCTGGATTGTGACGCTCGTAGGTAGACACCGACGTTTCGGAGGAAAACGCCGCCTCCGTATTAACATCAATATTTTTTTTACGAAGGTACACGGCACTGTTCTACTTCGTTATCAGTTGTCTCTTATTTACAAATTGAAGAATTACAGTTCAAAAATGTACTGCGTTTTGGGGACTGGCTTTGTCTGTGTAAGGATGTACCTGCTCTGCACGACTCGTTAGATACAGGTAGTCTTCATCACTGGGAACATTTTAAATTTAAAATATCAGGAAACGGATAATGTCCTACCAAAGTATAGTAATGTTTTCTGTCTTCGCCCTGAAGATGCAGACAATACATTCCTCCGAAACGTTGGTACTAACTGCAAAATCACAATCGACATGGCTGTTTACTTCGTTTCCAGTATTTACATTCTGCAGTTTGAGTTGAGTACAGATTTGTAAAACGAAAATGCCACAAGCAATTTTTGTATTTATTGAGACACGTGAGCGGGCTACCGAGAGAGAGAGAGATGCTCGTTGCTTTGGCAGTTAATATTTTCCGCGTAATTAACGACTGTTAATGGCCTCGGAGGAAATACGTCTTCATGAAATTTCTTTAGGGGGTTTGCCGCACTCGAAGAAGTGCTAACATTAGTTGTCGCGCAGAAGCGTGGATCATTACCCACATCCACTCCAGCTTGACAAAGCACGGCGACAGCTCTCGGAGATTTTGTTCATTTATAATGTGGATGTATCGCTCTGAGAGAGAGAGGGAGCTGGAATTCAAAGTTTGGGAGGACAATCGCCTAGAAGAATACTTGTACCCAAGAGTAATGATACAACGCGGGCCGAAGGATAAATTTATTCTGCTCACCTACACTGAAATGGTCCATCGCGGTCGTGATGGGAAATTACCACACGAGAATCTGATATAAGGCTGGCGATAATATTAAACTGGATCTCATTGGAGTAGTTGTTGACCTGTTAATTGGATCGGCTCAACGAGTGTCTGGTCTGTTCAGGGAGCGACGCACTGTGAGATTTTAAGGGTTTCGTGGTTGTGAGCATGAAGATGTTGCCCATTCTGTTTCCATCGTCAGCACTTTTTCGAAACTTCGGTGTGTGCCTGCGAGTCTACACAGCGTGCCGGAAAGGTCGTCTTCGTTTTGCGCATAAAGCATGGTGCCTCTGTGTTGCGAAAGGAAAAGAGAATTAACCCTTTGAAGCCGAAGATCGTCTGAATATTATTTATGAATTCAGTCCGTACCGCGAAGAAAACACTACACCTCACCATTACGAAAATCAGCTGGTTAACCCTTTGAAGCCGAAGCTCGTCTTCGTAATATTTACGAATCCAGACCGTACCGCGAAGAAAACACTTCACTTAACCATTAGAAGTCGAATCAGGCGGTACCACATAAGATTTAACATCCCGGTCGAAGCCTTAAGTCATCTGACATTTCTCAGAGGCGGCTTCTGACGTCTGTGCGATAATGTACAGAACTCGGGCATTTCATTATCCTCCTGTAAGGAGGATTTCGTGACGCATTTATCTAATTTTGACAAATTTTTCCTTGGCACTGCGTATGTGCGCCTAATAACTGTAGCAAGGGCTCCGTTTTAACTTGAGAGCACCCTTCAAAAGATAATGATGCTCCGCGTATATTGGCTGCTCCATAAACTCTTGATTCATGTTGCAGGCTCGTACGTGCGGAGAGACGTCTCCCTGTCATACGCAAAAGTGGAAGCTGTTATTATGTGTCGTGGGATTTAATGTAGTCGAGAACTCCTTGCACTTGCCAGATGGTCTGTCTTTTCGGTTCGGTACCGGTCTTTGGGGTGTTTATTCTTTCAATGTCTTGCTGTCAAAGAGAGATAATAACTTTAACAAACTTCTGGCAGACAGTTGCACAGTTTCTGTTGAAAAATTACAGACCTGCCTCATATTTTCTCCTTTGTCTCAGTGAAATTGACGTTGTCTACCGGTTGTTATTACTACAGCGGCGTAATTGTGGAACTGCCCACATTTTCCATCGAGCGGATTGGCACAGCCGTATTGTATCTGGCTCGTCTACCGGAGGTACCCGACTCCAATGGCCGGGGTTTGGCTTTTCTCGCTGAGGGTTTACGTGATTTTATAGGGTGTGTAATCCTTGAATTCAAGTTCTTGAATGATTAGGTCTATTTTTGATACAAGCCCCCGAGATTCGATCCAAGGACTTGGCGATATCGCATCAGTTATTATTATTTAGTGTTGTTGTCTGAGGACAGGTCCATATGAACAGGATCCTTCCATCCTTTTTTCGGACTGGGACCTGTTCATATACGTTCTTGGCAGATGATCCAGAAGTGGTTTGCCATTGCCTTCTTCTGTGTGTGAATGGAGTAATTGTTGGGATGCCACGGAGGAAAACTCCGTGTTGCCTAGACCACGGCCTTGCCCAACACAAGTTACAAATTCGGGCACCGCCGGGAATCGAACCCGAGACCCCAGGATTACAAGGCCAGCGTTCTAACCGCTAGACACCTCGTAAAATGTGTGAGAAAACTTGTGATCAGATCACTCGGCGGAGCTTTGAATTAAGTATTCCGATAGCTACTTTGTAGCCGGTAGGGGAGGTCCTTCGTGGTCGGATATCCGGTGCGATAATCTTCCGGGCGAGAAGATTCATTGCCTGATGCTGGAGATAACGTTAAAGTGACGTGTACGAACTCTGGTGGAAGTTACCCTCACTAAACCCTATTGGTTTATTCTGGAGTTGTTGTACGCGGACGGACAGACAGGAAGACGCATTTTTGCAACGTCTGGTTCAGGTCGCGCCCGAACATGAACCCGAATCTCCTCCCCCACCTAGAGTGCACGATAACCGTTACCCACAGAGCACAGTTCTACATGATGTGGGTGGTTTCGTATTGCCACTGCGTTGGGGGTTACTGGTGGTTAACAAACGCTCGCGTTCGGAGATGAAAAACCGCCCGCTGACGGCTTCTTTCTTGACAGTAGAGCTTTCACCGTTCACTTATATCTCAAGTGGAAAATGGAGTTCTTATCTGCTTCACGTCGTGCACAGCAAACGAACGAATGACATTACCTGCGGTGTTTTCAAGCTCGGAGCTGGCAGATAGCCACAGTTGATAAATAATAAATAGATCTGGCCGCTGTTTCAATACCCGGGACTCCGGGCATAAAGAAATGTAATTTGTACATGTAGTTCCCCCCCTCATTGTTTTCTCATTTCTTTCAACGTCAGAGTCTCTGTGTTTCTTTACGCTGTTCATGGACGTCGTGCTGTTGGCCTGTCATCTTCATGTCTTGTTCGTTATCCCGAAGATCTGTGGTCACATTGGCAGCCGCCCAGAATTGTGCCATATATTTTAACAAGTTATTAAGTAATACGAGAACTCAGCTCACGTGCCACTGTTTAGGAACTTCAAATGACATTTCATGATCTCACGGCGCTGAGTATGAAGACGGCCGTCCTTGAATATGGTATTTGGTGTTTCCAGTTTTTACAGAACGCAGAATTGAATTTGTACGTCTTGTTGCAGGAGATCCGTGAGCTCCTGTCAGACTTTCCAGTGCAGTCGGTGCAGTTGCAGTGTGGCACTGGCTCAGGAATGGCCCGTGCCGTGTTGGAGGACCCGGAGATGCTGGAAGAATGGGACCGCGACCGAGCGTTTCATCTTCGCGGCCAGCGGGTGCCCGTTTCTCCAACCCCCACGGAGATGATGCTCTGCGTTGCACGCCTGCCTCTCACATACACAGAGACTCAGTTCACTGCTCTTGTCAGAACATACGGCGACATCTATCGGAGTTTCCTCATGATTAGTGAGAAGACAGGTAATCGGACGTCTAAGAGTTTGCTTTCATCCAGTCAAGGATCGTATGTCTTCATTGGAGAAATGTAAAGATGCCATCAGAATGCTTGCGAAGCAGACATCTGCCTAAACCACCCTGTTGTGGGACGGGCTGGTCCATGCAAACTCTTTCTTAAGCCTCGTTATTGACAGATTGGCTGGAGATCCCTGTCTCCTGGGTTGTGGCGCCGTGTAGTCTGGTTAGGTCTCATCGCCGTAATGATGGAGTTAACAGTGAACTCTGAAACGTCGGTAAACTCATGCCAGACTACACGGCGCAACAACCCAGAAGGCAGCCATCTTCAGACTCACCACCGTTCTCTGCATCCACAAGTTGTGCGCTGAAGATGGTTAAAGAAAATACTCATAAATTCTGATTTTGGTTTTCATGTAAAGTGGGAGGAGTAATTGGCCAATGTATTGCAAGGGTATCATTTTCATATAGGAATCTAGTAACAAGCCAAAATATGAAATTTCGTCTGTGCCTGTTTCGCCGTTGCAAATTTACTTAATTTTCTTTTCTATGTAAGCGACCATTAAATATGTCGTGGATACTTAGGATTTCACGCAAAGTAGTTGAGATTATTCATGGCTGTCAAGTGACAAAGGGGCTGAAACAGTTGGAATTGTTCGTCAATGAAGACTTTGACATTTATTTGTCTGTTGCGTTCAGTTTATGAAGTTGGACGTGATTTGCTCTTATGCCCAGTTCTAAAAATATTTACATTTGTTATAACATTTTTACATTCTCTGCTTTTGGGTTATGCTACTACCCTCATTTCATCAGTGACCTTTTCCATTTCTCTGTGTCACCCAATCACACAAAATTTTGCAGTTAATTCTTGTTACCATTCTAATTCCTATTTTGGGCTCATTGCTCGTGAATCTTTTTATCTGTTGGCTCCTCCCTCCAGTTTGTGGTTTCCTCACGTCTAAGTATGTGGCTCCAGCGCATAGGACACATCCCCTGTTCCAGATCCCCATTTTCCACCATCCTTGAGTACACTTCAGTTCATATACCAGTGATCTTCCCTCTTTGTGCGTGCTTCCATTCTCTCTCCACGCATCCCCCGTACTAATCCAGTGTGCGCAATGGGTGGACTGAGCTCGCAGTCGTAGTTCGCTGACGTGCATCGAAGTAACGGAGATGTGTCTTCATGTTCAGGTGACAGCAAAGGCTACGGTTTTGTGGAGTACACGACAAAAGAGGCAGCTCTGCAGGCGAAGAACATGTTAGACGGGAAGCAAGTGGAAAATTGGATTTTGTGCTGTGATTGGTTGGACTCGAGTCACATCACATTTGACTCCCTCCATTCCAAGTGCCTCTATGTAGATAAGCTACCAAAAGATTTCCGAGACATGGGTGAATTCAGGAAAGTGTTTGGGTCTGTTGTGAACCCACCTTATTGTCAGGTACGTGTGCGCCGCTTCGGGTGTTTGGGGTAGCTGTAAGATTGAAGAGC